ATCACTGTCAACGTCAGCATCATCATCATCAGCATCATCGTCCTCCCCATCATCACCACTACCACCACAATCGTCAACATCCGCATCATCAGTGTCAGCATCATCATCACAACCATCACCACCACCACCATCATCATCACCACCACCACCATTATCATCATTATCGCCACTATGACCAGAATCATCCATCATTATCATCATCAACATCGTCAAAAGAAACGCCATCGTCATCGACATCAGACTCATCATCATCATCATCATCATCATCATCATCATCATCATTACCTTCACCAGAATCCGCATCATCATCATCATCGTCGTCGTCATCATTCAAATCAGCATCATCATCGTTATCGACATCGTCATCACCTTAAACATCATCATCACCATCACAAGAATAATCACCATCAGCATCATCGTCGACATCATCGAAATCTGCATCATCATAATCATCATTATCGGAATCGTCATTACCTCCACCATCAGCATCAGCAGCAGTATCATGTGCATCGTCATCAGCATCATCATCGTCCTCATCATCATCACCACCACCACGATCATCATCATCCTCATCATACGCATCAGCATCACCATCACCAACATCACCATCACCAGCATCATCATCATCATCACCACCACCACCAATCATCATCACCATCATCACAATCACAGAACCATCATCCCTACCATCATCAGCATCGCAATCATCATCATCATCGCCATCGTCATCGTCATCCTCGTCATCATCGTCATCACCAGCATTATCATCGTCATCGTCATCGGCATAACCATGGTCATCATCATCAACATCATCATCACTACTAGAATCAGCACAGTCATGATCATCAGCAACGTCATGAGCAGCATCGTCCTCATCATCATCACCACCACCAGCACCACCATCATCATCATCCTCATCGTCAGCATCAAAATCGGCATCACCACCATCACCAGCACAGCCACAATCCTCATCATCACCACCACCATCATCATCGTCATCATCACCACAACCACCACCATCATCAGAAAAGTCATCGTTATCGTCATCATCACCATCATCACCAGAATCATCATCATCATCATAATCATCAGCATCATCATCATCATCATCATCTACGTCATCACCATCATCGTCATCGTCATCTGCATCGTCATCATCATCACTATCAGTATCAGCATCATCATCACCATCATCACCATCAGAATCATCATCACCACCGTCCTCTTCGTCACCACCATCATCACCATACTCATCAGAATCATCCTCAGCATCAGCATCAGCATCATCACCACCATCATCACCACCACCATCAGCATCATCATCATCACCACCACCACCACCAACATCGCCATTACCATATCATAACCATCACCGAAATCAGAATCATCATCAGCATCATCATAATCGTAATCAGCATCGTCATCGTCATCATCATCATCATCATCATCATCATCAGCATCATCGTCCTCATCATCATCACCACCATCACCATCATCATCCTCATCATCAGCATCATCACAACCAGCACCACCACCATCATCACCACCACCATCAGCATCATCAGCATCATCATCATCATTGCCATCGTCATCGTCATCATCATCAGCATCATCACCATCACCAGAATCATCATCTTCAGAACCACCATCACCACCACCACCATCAGCATCATCATCCTCATCATCATCATGGGCAGCGTCATCAACATCGGCATTATCATCATCATCATTAGCATCATCCTCATCCTCATCATCAGCATCAGCATTGTCATCACCACCATCACCACCACCACCATCATCATCACCACCACCACCATTATCATCATCATCAGCATCATCATCATCACCATCACAAGAATCAACATCAGCATCAGCATTACATCATCATAATCATCGTCATCGTCATCGTCATCGTCGTCATCAGCAGCATCGTCATCATCACCGTCATCATCGTTATCATCGTCATCATCATCAGAATCATCATCATCACTATCACCAGAATCATCACCATCATCATCATCGTCAGTATCATCATCATCGTCATCACCATCGTCATCATCATCATCATCATCGTCATCGTCATCGTCATTATAATCACCATCGTCATCATCATGATCAGCAGCATCATCATCAGAATCATCATCGTAATCATCAGCATTGTCACCACCGCCACCATCATCATCAACATCATCAGAATCAGTATTACCATCACCACCATCACCACTGGCACCATCATCATCATAATCATCATCACCACCACCACCATCATCATCATTATCATCCCCACCACCATCAGCATCATCATCATTATAAGCATCGTCATCACCATCATCATCATAATCCTCATCATCGTCATCGTCATCATCGTCAGCATCGTCAGCATCGTCATCGTCATCGTTCTCATCATCACCGTCATCACCCTCGTCATCAGCATCATCATCAGTATCGTCACCACCATCATGATGATCATCGCCATCAACAGCATGATCATCATCATCGTCGTCATAATCATGATTATCACCAGCATCATCATCATCAACATCATCGTCCTTATCAACATCATCATCATCATCATCATCATCATCATCATCATCATCATCACCATCAGCATCATCCTCACCACCATCATCATCCTCAGCATCAGCATCATCATCATCATCATCATCACCAACATCACCACAACCACCACCATCATCATTCCCACCACAACCACCACCACTACCACTACCATCATCATCAGCATCATCATCACAATCGCCAAAATCATCACCAGAATCATCGTCGTCATCATCGTCATCATAAGCATCATCAGCATCAGCATCATCATCACCATCACCATCATCATCATCATCATCATCATCATCATCATCATCATCATCATCATCATCATCATCATCATCATTATCATCATCCCTGTTCCCTCTTCCCGACGCCTCTTCTATGGAGGCCGCCGGAGGGAGGGAAGGGAGCGGCAGGGGCCTCGGGAGGGCCTCGCCGAGGGGGGCGGCAGGGGAGGCGACGGGGGGGCGGGAGCGGGGAGTGAGCAGGCGCCTTTCACCCCCCTTCCCTACTCCACCTGCCCGCGGATCCCGGGGCCCAGGCGGCGTTCAAACTTGAACGCCCGCGGCATTGCCGCCGCCGCTACCCACTGCTCGGCAGCACACCGAGGCCACCCAGGCACGACTCTGAGGCGGTGGGCGCGTATGTACCCTCCTCGACGGCGCTGCAGTTTGTTCCGTGAAGTCGGCCCCCGGGGGATCTCGACCCCTTCCCCAGATCTGTGGCAAATCAGGGGAGCCTCCCGTGCCATCTTGCTGGCTCTCTAACCGACGCTAACCCGCACTGAATCCACGCCAATCGGCGCCTAATCTCCGTTTCCTCATCGATTATTCCGACGCCAGCGCACCCCAGTGCACCCTAGAAAGGGAACTTCGACGACATACCAGGCTACTATGAGTTGCTGCCGAAATTATCTGGGGCCGGCATTTCATCCTGAATCGTTGATTCACTGTCCTGGGGTCAGGTCGGGCATGTCCCCCGACAGGCGGATCTTGAACGAAAAGTAAAAATAGTCAAAAAGAAAATGATCCACGCAGTCGACATGTCGTTCCCAGACTATTGTTATATTCTTTCTGAATACTCCTCATGTGGAGGGACAGGCCCGACTTCGCCCAGGTGCTGGGAAACGGCATCCAGTCGTCGCGACCCATCTACGCCGCCCAGGCCCGAAGGCGCTCTGGCGGTGGACGAGGGGAAGCGTAGGGAGGGGTCCTGCTCAAGGGGGAGAAGCATCGGCGTGGGATCAGCGATACATCGCCGATAGATCGGCGCGCATAAAGGGGGTAGGCCTTCTGCCTCGAACGCAATGCACGCGCCCATGCTTTCTGTACCCATCTGGATCGTGTCGATCCTCGGTGCGCTGCCGGCGCGCATGAGGGGGTAGGGGGAGGGGGGGACGCCTTCTTAGAGGGAGGCTGCTTCTTAGAAGGTGCCGGCCCTACGTATATAGAAGGCACGCGCGTTCTAAGGAGCAGTGGTGCCTCTAAGAAGCCGTCCCCTCTCCCCCTACTGAGGGGCAGCGATAGGGGGTGGATAGGCATAGGAGGGGAAACATCGACCTGGAATCGGCGATAGATCGGCGTTGGACCCCGGAGAGCGAGTCCGCGCCTTCCTGGGCGGGTTGGGGCTGTCGGGCCCCCTATCGGCGATCCATGGGCGATTGGGGGTCGATGCGACCCCCCCCTATGCCTATCCCCCCCTATCTTCGGTGTCAACTCATGGGAGCCTCCCATACCATCTTTTCGGCTCTTGCGAATCGACGCTAGTCGGCGCTAATCGACGCGAATCGACGCCCAATCGACTCTAATCGACGCAAACCGATGCTAAATCGGCGTTTCCTCGTCGACTCCCAGACACTAATCGACGCTAGTCGACGCAGAAGACGGAATCACGAAAGTACACAAGGCTCCCATGATTTGCTACCGGAGAAGCCGTCCCCTCTCCATGCGTCCCCCCCTAAGTGGAGGCCAGTCCACAAGAAACCCAACCCTGAGACCCCAGGATGCCCACTGATTTCTGGAGTGGGAGCGTCGCGCCTTCCACGGCAAAACCCTCGAAACCCAAGAAACCCAGGGCGCCCTGGAGGCAAGCAGGTTGTTCCTTGGCGTGGGTTTCCACTGTAGGAGGGCGCTGGAAGTAGATTTCCCAGACATGCGACGTCTTGTTTTTTTCAGGACAGCGCCCCCAGAAGTTCAGACCCTTTCCCCGGGGCCGGTTTTGCACCCTGAGTCGTTTTCGACGGTCCCGAGGCCTCGCGAGGGCCCCCCAAGGCCGCCGAAAGTGGCCAAAAACCTCCCGCCCCGATTTTTGCTACGACGCGACCCTGCCTGGGCTTGGACCCCCCCCTCGTTGCCCCCGACCTGCCCCCCTCCGCGCGCGGCCGAGCGCGCCCGCCGGGCGGGCGGGCGGCTCGCCGGCGGGCCGGGCCGCCCCGGCGCGGCCGTCCTGCACCCCGTGGCGTGCCCGGAGCTGCGACGCGCTGAGCTGGTCGTCCTCGCGGCGCCACGGCGCATCGGCGCACCCGGCGCACCCGGCGCGCTCGAATCGCCCGCCCTGCGCCCGAGGAGGCGGCTCGAGGAGGAGACTCGAGGAGGAGGAGGCTCGAGGAGGAGGAGGCTCGAGGAGGAGGAGGCTCGAGGAGGAGGAGACTGGAGGAGGAGGAGGCTCGAGGAGGAGGCTCGAGGAGGAAGGCCGAGGAGGAGGCGGCTCGAGGAAAGGGAGGAAGCTCGAGGAGGAGCCTCGAGGGTCGAGGAGAAAGGCCGAGGAGGAGGGCGCGGGCGCCGCGGCGCACCCCCGCGGGCGCCCAGCGCGGGTGCGGCGCTCCAGCGCCTTGGTAGCCCTTCGCCGTGCTCAGGACGAGATCGATGCACGAGCGGCGAACAGGGCTGAACCCAAACGTGTTTCTCATCTTCGTGCTGCTTCTCGTTCTTCCTCGTTCTGCCTTCGCTTAGCCTCGCATGCAAAACAAAACGGAAAAACAAAACGGCCCACGAGATGGCCAAAACACCGTTCAGGTCCAGCCCTGGCGGCGAGCACGTCCGTGTCCGCGCCGCGCCCTCGCGGTCTGGGCTCCAGCGCGCGCACTCCCGCGGACACGCGGTCGCATTGAGGCGTTCCGCGCAAGGGCCTCCGCGGAAGAGCAGCCCGTGTCCTCGAGGTCGCGGCCGCCAGGAGCCCGACCTGCGAGCCCGTCGATGGGACGCACGGAGACATACGAATCCTAGATGTGCTCCTGGGAGGTGCGCGTCCGACCCGAACATGCAGTATACCCATATTGTAGTATATCGTTTCCCGAGCGGTGTGGCCAGAAAGCGCCCGCCACGACGCATATACTATAAGAATTATCAGTGCGCGCGTCGCCCCTGGGGGGGCGACGCACATAGTAGAAGTATGTTGGGGTGACGCCGAGTCGATGCGGGTAGGTTTTTCGCGAGCGATTGATGTCATGATGCGATTGGCCCAGGCTACGTTCCAGGAGCTCCGGAGTATCCGGCGGCCCTCGTTTCTGCAGCCCGTGTGGAGCACGAGGGGGACTTGGGAATCCTGGCAAGCTTGGAGCATGCCATTCTTCATGACCTCGTGTCAACATTTTCTTGTTCGGCATCTCGACATTGGGCGGAAGGCGGGGGGAGGGGAGTCTGGCTTTGGACCACTGCATATGCGCACGTCCCACAGGGGAGACTCCACCTGCTTGAAACAGGCGCCAAAAACAGCCAAGATCTACTCCATTGGGGGGGGGAGAGGGGTGCAAAGGCCCGCGCCGATCGGCAAATCAATGAATGAGAAAACGATCACCTTGCTCCTCTGAGTTCTCGGCCTCTGGCCCTGGGGGCCGGTTTCGAACCTCGGGGGCCGTCACAAAACGGCGCAAGATAAAAGGGCTGGCCTCGGGGTAGGGTCGGGAACTTCCAGGGGGCCCGCATTGCAAAAGCACGATGTACTTGATGTCTGGGCACAGGCACGGTTCTTCGCTCGGACGCGGCAGTGAGGCGCGGCACCGGATCAGCAGCTGCGGGCCAAGCGGGCCACGAAGTGCATCACCGCTGTGATGGGGTGAACGCACACAGCGGCTGGGACCCCCAGTGCCAGTCTGGCGACCGCCAAAGCTGAAGCGCCGACACGCCCACACGCACACACGCGCGCACGCGCGTCACGGCGGAAGTCTCACGCGCGCGGGCCAAAGAAGACACGAGGCAGACACAAAGGCTGAAGATGCGGTAGGGGCGCGTGCGAGAGGACGTTCGGGGCGGGCGCGAGAGGACGCTCACGAGGGACAGCGAGGAGCGCAGAAACCCACGGGGGGCACGCAGAGGACATGCGTTGTGCTTGTTTTCCAGTCGTCGCCCTTATCCTTCTTCTCCTCCTCCTCCTCCTCCACATCCTCCTCCTCCTCATCATCATCACCATCATCATCATCAGCAGCATCAGCATCAGCATCATCATCAGCAGCACCATCAGCGTCATCATCACAACCACCACCACCACAATCACCACCACCACCACTACCATCATCATCATCATCATCATCATCATCATCATAATCATCATCATCATCATCATCATCATCATCATCATCATCATCATCGTCATCATCATCAGCAGCAGCAGCATCCGCATCATCAGGAGCAGTAGCATCATCAAAGTTAGCATCATCAGCATCATCATCATCATCATCATCATCGTCAACATCATCAGCAGCAGCATAATCATCGTCATCCTCATCATCATCATCATCATCAGCATCATCATCATCATCATCATCATCATGGTCAACAGCATCATCAGCAGCAGCAACATCAGCATCACCATCATCAGCAACATCATCGTCGTCGCCGCCGTCATGCCATCATCATCATCATCATCATCATCATCATCATCATCATCATCATCATCATCGTCATCATCATCATCATCATCATCATCGTCATCATCAGCATCATCACCAACATCACCAACACCACCATCGTCACCATCGTCAGCATCATCAGCATCATCATCAGCATCAGCATCATCATCATGGTCATCATCATCATCATCAGCAGCATCACCGTCATAAGCATTAGCAGCATCATCTGAATCATCAGCAGCATCAGCATCATCACCACAATCAGCATCATCATCAGCATCATCATCAGCATCAGCAGCATCATCTTCGGTTTCAGCATCATCATCATAAGCATCATCATCATCATCATCATCATCATCATCATCATCATCATCACCATCACAATCAGCATCAGCATCATCATCATCAGCATAAGCATCATCATCATCGCCATCGGCATCATCATAACTGGCATCATCATCGTCATCATCATCATCATCATCAGCTGCATCATCATCAATCATCACCACCATCATCAGCACCATCATCAGCATGATGGCCGCGAACCGAACCGAGAACCGAGAACCGGCTCCCGAACCGAACCGGCCGAACCGGACCGGTCCTCGACCCGAATCGGCCGAACTGGACCGCGCCAGCCTCTGACCCGAACCGGCCAGACCGAACCGGCCCGACGAACCGAACCGGCCGAACCGGACCCCCCCTCGTGGCTGGAGGGGCGGAGGGACCTGACCCCCCCCTCAGGACGGCGGGGATCGGAGGGGATCTGACCCCCCCTCAGGACGCGGCGGGGGCGGGGGCCCCCCTCAGGACCTGACCCCCCTCAGGGCCCTCTTGGGGCCTTGGGGGGCTTCCTGGGAGGCCCAGGAGCGCCCCCAGCGGGCCCCGAGAGGGCCCTTAACGCGCATGTCGTGCGCATGTCGTGGCCCTGGGGCCCAGGACGACGACGACATGCGCACGACATGCGCCCTTGGGTCCTTCTTGGGGCTCTCTTGGAGCCCTCCTGGGCCCTCTTGGGGCCTTGCGGGGCCCGCCTGGGAGGCCCAGGAACGCTCCCAGAGGGCCCCGAGAGGGCCCTTAACGCGCATGTCGCGCGCATGTCGTGGCCCTGGGCGGGACCTGACCCCCCCTCAGGACGGGACCTGAACCCCCCCTCAGGACCTGACCCCCCCTCAGGACGGAAGGCGAAGACGCCGCGGGACCTGACCCCCACTCAGGACGGACGGCGCCGCGGGACCTGACCCCCCCTCAGGACGTACGGCGGCGCGGGCCGCAGGACCTGACCCCCCCCTCGGGACCTGACCCCCCCCTCGGGACCTGACCCTCCCCCTCGGGACCTGACCCCCCCCTCGGGACCTGACCCCCCCCCTCGGGACCTCCCCCCCTCGGGACCTGACCCCCCCCTGAGGACCTGACCCCCCCTTCGGGACCTGACCTTCCCCTCGGGACCTGACCCCCCCCCCTCGGGACCTGACCCCCCCCTCGGGACCTGACCCTCCCCCTCGGGACCTGACCCCCCCCCCCTCGGGACCTGACCCCCCCCCCCTCGGGACCTGACCCCTCCCACCTGACCCCCCCCTCGGGACCTGACCCCCCTCGACCTGACCCCCCTCAGGCCTGCCCCCCCCTCAGGACGGACGGCGCCCCCCTCAGGATCTGACCCCCCCTCAGGACGGGACCTGAACCCCCCCTCTCAGGACGACGGGGGACCTGACCCCCCCTCAGGACGCCGGGGATCGGAGGGCCGCTCCCGCTCCCTCGTCCCTCCCTCTGCCGCTTCCTCCGTTCCTGCTGCCCCCTCCCTCCCTCGTCCCTCCCTCCGTCGGCCCTCCTCCGTCGTCCCTCCTCCCCCCTTCGTCCCTCCTTCCTCTCGCCTCCCTCTCTCCTCCCTCTCTCACACTCTGCCGCTCCCGCTCCCCACTCTGCTCGTCGTCGTCGACGTCGACGTCGTCGACGTCGTCGTCGTCGTCGTCGTCGTCGTCGCCTCATGTCCAAGAATTCGGGGGTGTCTTGGAACCGGCCGAACCGGAAAACCTCGGCCGAACCGAACCGGCCGAACCGGACCGAACCGGCCGAACCGAGCGACCGAACCGGACCGGCCGAACCGGACCGGCCAATATACTCGAACCGGACCGGATGGACCGAACCGGACGGCGATCTGAACCGGACCGGCCGCACCGACACGAAGGCGCGCCGAACCGGACCGAACCGAACCGAACCGGGGCCATCATGCATCAGCAACAGCATCAGCATCATCAGCATAAGTAGCATCACCATCAGCATCATCAACATCATCATCGTCGTCGCCGTCGGCATCATAATCATCATCAACATCATCATCACCACCATCATCACGACCATCATCATCGTCGTCATCATCATCATCAGCAGCAGCGTCATCACCCTCGTCATTATCATCATCATCATCATCATCATCATCATCATCATCATCATCATCATCATCATCATCATCATCATCATCATCTGCATCAGCAGCAGCAGCAGCCGCCGCAGCATCATCATCACACAGATACACACAGGATAGAGAGGGGGGACAAAGCGTCGGGGAATGCCTCGAAGTTGTCCCAGGGGGAGGGGGGCTGAGAGAGGAACTGAGAACTGAGACCAGGGAGGATGGAGAACGCAGAAGAGACGAAGGCGGGGAAAATGGCGCGGAGGAGCGCGAAGAGAAAGAGGAAGAGGATGAGCTCAGGAGCGCGAGAGGAGAGAAAAGAACGATGGAGGGCAGAGAGAGAGAGAGAGGGAGAGGGCGGGATACCGCAGAAGAGGGAGGAGGACTGCACGGGGACCAAGATCAGGACAAGGAGCAGGAGTCCAGGAGAGAGAGTGGAGGGAAGACGGCCGGAGGGATGGACTACGGAAAGACGAGGAGAGGCGAACGAAGAAGACGGAGAAGAAAAAGACTACAATACCGATAACCGTGCGTACGAAAATGGAGCGGCAAACCGAACCAAACAACAACAGACAACCATGAAACCCTCACTGGACATGACAGAGACGCGGACACGACGCGGCGGCGGGAGGGGCTCCGTCGCGGTGCCCCCTGCCTTGTAGCGCTGGCGCAGCTCCGAAGCGGAGAGCCTGGCGCCGGCCCCGCACCAGGCGAGAGGCGTCCCCGGCGCGGCGGAAAGATGAGAGGACAGAGGAAGAACTTATTTTTCCTCCTGCCTCCTCCTCCTCCTCCCCCTTCTGCTCCTCCTCCTCCTCCTCCTCCTCCTCCACCTCCTCCTCCTCCTCCTCCTCCTCCCCCCTGTTCCCCTCTTCCCCTCCCCCTCCTCCCCTTCCTCCTCCCCCCCTTTCCTCCTCCCCCCTATTCCTCCTCCCCTCGCACCTTCCTCCTCCCCCTCCTCCCCCTCCTCCTCCCCTCCTCCTCCTTCTGATCCTTCTCCTCCTCCTCCTCCTCCTCCTCCTCCTCCTTCCCCTCCTCCTCCTCCTTCTCCTCCACATCCTGCTCCTCCTCTTCCTCATGCTGCTCCTACCGCTCCCTGTCCTCCTCTCATCCCTTCGAATCATATGCAACTCCTCCCTGTCACACCTCCAGAAAGGTCAGTACGTCAGGACGGGCGTTTCGCTTGAGACTTCATAACAAGTCACGATGAGAAACTTAACATGTGTTACAGCTTCACGGATGAGGGGCGGGCTGGTGTTCACTATCTTGCTCTCGCCTTACCGCCGCACGCATTCGTCTTAAAAGTGTGTAACAGCTTCCAGGATGCAGGGCGAGTCGTTCTCAAAATGTGTCTCTCGCTTCAGCGCCGCGCGCACCCGTCTTAAACGTTTGCACGGATTGAGGGCCATTGATTTTCAAAATCTGGCTCTCGCCTCAGCGCCGTGGACATTCGCTGTAAAAGTTTACAGCAGCTTCAAGGATGAAGGCAGGCCGACTTCAAAATGCTAGCGCCGCGTAAGACGTAATAAAAGTTCACAACAGCTCACGATGAAAGGCGGCTTATGTTCAAAATGTGGCTCTCGCGTCAGCGCCGCGCACATTCGGCGTCGAAATTTGAAACATGTTCGAGGACTCGTGTAGTCGAAGTCCCAGGAATAGTGTTATGGCACGATCCGAAACTATCAGGACGCAGCCATCACGTTGATTCGCGGCGCTGACGGCACAAGAATAGCGTTCAAGCAAAATTCAGGGCATTCAGTACGCTACTGTCACGTTAATCCGCGGCGTCAGCATCCCAGGAACTGCGTCGTAGCACGATTGGGAATTCTCAGACGGTTGTCTTCGAATGTTCAATCTCCCAGAATGGAAATATGTGTTTTAGAATACTATGATGAGGGAACGTGGGGGGGTGTATTGCAGCATCGCTGACGCGCCTTCAGTTTACGCTGGTTCTCCTCCTCCTCCTCCTCCTCCTCCTCCTCCTCCTCCTCCTCCTCCCTCTCCTCCTCTTCCTCCTGCCCTACCTCATCGTCCTCTTCCTCTTCCTCCTCGTCTTCCTCCTGTTTGATATTATCCTCCTCCTCCTCCTCATCCTCCTCCTCCTCATCCTCCTCATCCCTCCTCTTCCTCCTCCATCAAGTGTCCTTGTACAGAACTCGTCCCTGTCAAAAAATGTCGGTAGGGTGGGCTGGGCGTTTCGCCTGGGATTTCTTCACCACTTGTGTCCCTAAAGCTTGACAGCTTCAATGATGAGGACGGGTGGTTTCAAAATGTGGTTATCGCGATAGCGCCGCGCACATTCACTTTTAAAGTGTGCACAAGCTTCACGGATGGAGGGCGGGTGGTTCTCAAAATCTGGATCCCGCATTAGCGCCGAGCGCGTTCGCTTACAGAACTTGCAAGAGCTCCAAAGAAAGAGTGTGAGTCGTTTTCAAAATGCGGTTCCCACACTAGCGCCGTACAGGCTCGTCATGACAATGTGCAACAGCTTCGACGATACAGAGCGTATCAGTTTCAAACAGCAGTCGTCGCCGTAACGCCGCGCGCAGTGTTTTTGAAAGTTTGCAGCACTTTCAAGGATGCGTACGCTTGGAGGCCCAGGAAATTCGTTCTGGCACGATTTCGGATTGCCACGGGCTCAGCAAACACATTGTTTCACAGTGCTGAAGTTCCAGGGTTGGTGTCCTGGCACGATAAAAACTCGTCAGGACGCAACAATCATGTCGACTCGCGGTGCTGAAGTCCCAGGAGCGGTGTTCTGGCACGACACGGGGGTCTCAAACGATTGTTCTCCAATGGGGCACGTCCCGCGATGATTTTACAGCAACATCGTTGGTGCGTCTTTGGTGTACAATGTTCTTACCTCTTGTCCTCCATCTTGTCTCCTCCAATAGAGCTAGTCGTTCTACGGGGGAGGCGCGCTTTTTCGGAGGCAGGCCAGAGGGAATCACACCCACGGGCCCTGGGGCCCGCACCCCCCAAGAAACGCCCCCGGTCCAAGTGGCTCGCTCGCAGGCTCAGACCTTGGTCCAACGGGGGCCCACGGGGCCCCCGGTCCGCGAGGGTGTCTCGCGAGTCCAACGGGGGGTTACAAGGGGGGGCCCTTCCACGTCTCCCCCTTCTGGTGTGCCGAACTCTTAAAAATTAAAACTACTCCGAAAACCCCCTCCGAACTAAGGACCTCAACTGCACACGGGGGGGCGGCGGAGGCGGCCGAAGGCGCCCAACCCCGACCCCCCCCGGGAGCGCCCGGCCTCCCGCCGGGACCGGCCGCAACCGGCGGCAGGAGAGGCTTCTTAGAAGGCTAGGAAGGGAGGAGCAGGTGAGTAGAGGGCGCATTCAGGGCTTCCGTTTTGCGCAAGGTAACGGGGCGGCCCAGCGGCCTTCGAAAACGGCTCGGCGAGGCGCCGGCGCAGCACGGGGCCGCGCCAGAGGGGGGGGCCCCCCGAGCCGAACCTGGGAGGGCAGTCGGGCCCTCTTTTATTCTGCACATTGGAAGAGCCCAGAGTCGCGCCGCCCTCCTTGGCGCCCGGTCTCACGCTCAAGGGAGGCGTCCCTGTTTTTCACAGGGGCGCGGGCAGCTGCGCGAGGGCGGCAGCCCGCGAGGCAAGGTCTCGGGCCGCGGCGGCCGGCACCTGCTGCTGGGCCAACGCCGCGAGCCCGTCGTTGATGTAGATCTGCTCCGTGCGCAGGTCCGACCAGCGCCCGCGGTGCACTGCGCGCCCGAGGTCGCCGCGGGCGCACATGTCGTGCGTCGCCCCACCGCGGCGCAGGCTGCAAGGCCTGCAGCCCCAGCCCTCCGAGCCCAGCCTCGCCGCAGGCCCGCTCGAAGAGCACGCGGAACTGCGCGCCCGAGCCCTGCGGCAGCGGCCCCGCGCCGCGCTGCTGGCGGAGCCCGGCCAGCGCTCGGCCGACGACTGGGTCGTCGACGGTGACCAGCTCCTGCGCCCCTCTCCCGGCCCCGCTCCTCGCCCAGGGCAGGGCGATGAGGCCGGCGCGGGTCGCGCTGATCATCGCGTGCTCGGCGCGGACGGTGATCAGCTCCCCTGTGCGCAGCAAGCAATGGAAGGCGACCAGGATGAGCACCGCCGCATCCTGCCGCCCGAGCATCCACAACACTTGGGCGATGCCGCACAGCATGGTGACCGACATGGGTGCTGCCCTGCGCGGCATCTCGACCCTTCCCCATGTTCGCCAGAGGTCCCAGGACATGGGGAACACACCGCCTGCCCCAGTAAAAATGAATTCCGCTCAAGGCATCCACTGCCAGATTGCGGCCCTCGCCATCAATCGAGAGATGATCCATGAACGTGCAGATCTGCTGGCCCAAGTCGGCGGCGCCCACGACTTGCGGCCAGCCCTGGTCCAGCTGGAAGTGGACAAACAAGGATGCAGCACGGAAATAACGAATTCGCGTCGGGGGCGCCACTCGCTGAAGTCGCAGGGGCCCCAGCGCCCTCCTGGCTGCGGCCCTGCTCGCACGATCTGCCTCTGCGCGCAGGCGTCTAACCGCGGCGCGCGCGCTTCCTGCCGGGCGCGTCCGCAGGGTTGTCTCAACTGCGGCAGAAGCCCAGAATGGCCACGATGCCCGAGGCCAACTCAAGGGCGCTGACCTTGCGAGCTATGCGATTCAACTGGCGGGACCCCGATCTGTGCTTGGTAAGGACAGCAATCGATACCTGGCTGCCCAACAAGTGGAGAAATTTGGTCTGCAGGTTCTTCATCTCCGCTCGCAGACGTCACCGGAGCGCCGAGAGGCACGCCCTCATCTCCAATTCATTGATGTGGGCCGACTGCTGCGAGCTGAACTGCAGGACCACGGACCAGCGCCACAGGTTGGCGGGGATCGGCAGCCGGGGCCACCCCGACGGTGAGAACAGCTCTCCTGTCGAGACCCCCACGTCGGAGCCTTTCGTGGACGTCGCCCTCATCACGTCCAGCACCAGGGCTTGCTCCGGAGCGAAGCCGCGTGAGCTGCAAAATGCGCTAGCGGCAACGGGGCGGACCGACTTCCTCAGGAGGTCGACCGAAGGCACATTCGCCAAGAAATTCCACTGAACTGCGAGGTGCGCCAACAGCCACGCCACCACCTCCACGTGAAAGGCGTTGCCGAGGAGGCTGCAGCGGACTGATTCCGCATGCTGCGGGTCGTCCTTGATGAGCACGCCCGACGGGGCCGCGACCTGAGCGCGCCCGCGTGGGAAGCCCATCAGACTCCCGCTCCTCCGCGCAGGGTGGCCGCCACTTCCCTGCCTCGTGCATACAGTGCTTCTCGATGTACTGGCTCGGCGGAAGGGGAGCAGCCCGTCGCCCGCCCAGCGCTGCAGCGCTGCTGGATCGCACTGGGCGAAGCCCGCCGGCCGCGGGCGAGGCGACGAGCGGCGCCCCCTCCTGACGGCGGTGGGGAGCCGCGCAGCGGGGTCGTCCCCAGCAGGCCAGGAGGCACCTCGGCGCAGCCAGCGCGAGCAGCGCCCGGGGTCTGCGTCGAGCATCACCTGGCGCCAGAGGCCCCTCTCCTCAATGCTCTGCTCGGCGTCGTCCACGAGGGGGAACGAGCACCAGTAGAGCCGCGGGCGGCGCATATGGCAGACCTGGGAGGCGCAGATCCGGCAGAGCTTGCGGCCCAGCAGCTTCGTGACCGCCGCGATGTCGGCCCGGTCGGCCGAGTCCGCGTTCTCGAACAAAAACCCCA